GGGGGGGGTGCACACCCCCGGGCGCGGGGCTGCAGCCGCTGCGCCTGCAGGCAGCGCTCCGGCAGGCGGGCAGCACTGGTCCAGTGCATTTATAGCTAGTGACAGAATGGGAGCAGGTCTCCATCCTCGATGTGTCAGGCCACATCGCTCCGGGCGTGTGCCGGGAACGCGCGTGGCTGCAGGAGCCGCATGATGGAGGAGGGACGGAGCATTAGGTTAAACCCGGGGGCTGTGTGGTCTTTTCTGGGTGGGCTCCCAGCAGCCCCGGGAAGCAGCGTGGCACCGTGGTCGTGCCCAGCATGTGTGGCTGCAGCCTGGCATGCATGCAAGCCCCCAGCCTGGCAGCGGGGACAGAAGGGGCTTCTCATCGAGGCATGAGGTGTGGCCTGGCCGTCCCCTCCAGGAGCTCGGGGACATGCATCTGTCCTGCTGGGCACCAGGCGCTGGAGAGTGGGGCTGGGGACGGTGCAACTGTGCACCCAGCAATGCTCAAAGCACTCGAAGTACAACAAAACCCATGCAGGATCCGTCCCTTGCTATCTGAGTGTTTAGTTACAGCACTCAGGCCACATTTGGCTCTGTTTAAGGCTGAGCAGCAGCCCCGGTGTGAGAGGGTTAACCCAGCTCATGGGCAGCCCCTGCTGCTCCTGGGGAGATGAGGGCCAGCTGCTCTGCCCCAGAGCCGGGGCTGGAGGAAAAGCAGATGTCGGTGGAGAGAGGCAATTATGGGGGATGTGATGGGGGCCTGGGGCTGAGCTCCCGGCAGCTGGGCTGCGGCACCAGGCAATCACGGCTGCAAATTGAGATCAGATGTGGGCAGCTTCTCTCTCTAAATGGAGGGCTCAGGGCTGTTGCCTGGGTTGGTTTTGCTCTGGCTTGGGGAGGAGGAGGGTTTCTGAGTGCTGCTGGGGCCCAGGTTGGCTGTGGTGACCTGCAGAGTGTGGTGCTCCCTTGGGAGACCTGTGCTTTCCTCGAGCAGCCCCTTTGCAGCTGCACTCCCTGCCTGCACCCTGCCTGTGCTGGGCTGGAGGTGCCTCTTGCCGGAGCAGGGGTGATGCAGGAGCTGGTGGCTGGTGTGGAGAAGATCAGATTTGACTTGGAAGCTGATGTGGAGCAGCAGAGAGGAGCTCAGCCCCTGCCCTTCCCGGGTATGGACAGTAAGTTGGGGACAGGATCCTGTGGCATCCTTGGAGGGTGACAGGGCTGTAGGAGGCGTTGGGGTTCTCCTCCTTGCTGGTGCTCCTGGCTCTTGCTGCACCCACCACAGTGCCTTGGTGCCTCTGGTCCTGCCTCCTCCCTGGGCTCCTGCCCAAGGTCAGGCTGGCTCCGGGCATTGCTCCCTCGGAGATGCATCTGGCACAGCTCTGCGGGGGCTGCCGGTGGAGTGGGCTGAGATGCTTTTGCCCTCAATGGCATGGTGGTCCGGGCACTGGGGCTGGTGGGTGAAGCTCTCCTTGCTGTGCTTTCCCCTGCAGAGCTGGGGGCGGCTGTCTGCGAGTTCTTCCATCGAGGGCTGTGCACCAAGGGTGAGTGCTGGGAAGGGATGGGGATGGGACTGACACCACCCTGCAAGATCCTGGGGCCACCAGGGAGCGCAGACAGGGCCCCTCTCTGCTCCGTGACCAGCCCATATCCTTGGCAGATTGCTTTGTGGCAAGTGGGTTGGCTGGGTTTGACCCAAAAAGCTAACACTGCTCAGAGTCCATCATTCTCCCTGACCCTTTGGATGAGTGCTCCTATTCCTTCTGCACCAGGGAGGGCTTGAACACCTCCAGGGCAACCAGACCTTGGCAGTGCCTGGGGAACTGAGCCCCATGCACCCAGTGGGTGCTGCAAATCTCCCCATCCCAGAACACTCGTGCTGGCATGTCCCAAGCCAAGGAGCCGGGGGGTGCTGGGGGGCTGCGATGGTGGGGGCTGCAGGGCACAAGCAGGCTCTGACGGTGGGTGTGTGCCGGGGCCAGGCGTGCGGTGCCCCTTCCGGCACGTCGGCGGGGAGAAGACGGTGGTGTGCAAGCACTGGCTGCGTGGGCTCTGCAAGAAGGGCGACGGGTGTGACTTCCTGCACGAGTACGACGTGACCAAGATGCCCGAGTGCTATTTCTACTCCAAGTTCGGTAGGTGTGGGACTGGGCCGGGGACCCCAGCGAGCCTCTCCCACCCCAGCACCCGTGTCCCTTGGGTCTGGCCTCAAGCAAGTGCCTGATGCCACCTCCTGTCTGCGGGAAGAAACGCCACTGGTGCCCGCCCAGGGTCACCATTCCCTGGGCCAAGCCTGGGTGCTCCCAGGGCACCTCTGTTCCTCCCATCCAGCCCATCCTTGAGTACTTTCCACTGCGTTTGGCTTGAGCGACCGTTGTCCCACCCCTTACTCCTGCAGGTGAGTGCAGCAACAAGGACTGTCCCTTCTTGCACATTGATGCCACCACCAGTACCATGGGCTGTCCCTGGTATGACCGTGGTTTCTGCAGGCACGGTGAGCTGCTGGGATGGGTGCTGGGGTGAGCAGGGGCTGCCTGTGTTCCCTACCCACCAGTGACGGGGGGGTCCGGACCCCACTCCTGACACCTCCAAGGTGACCAAGCCAGAGTGGGGTAAACCACAGTGGGTTGTCTGGGGTCTGCCTGGGAGTGGGACTGGGTACCCAGTGGGGATTTGGGCCCCATAGAGCTGAAAGGGAATGGGGTTGCGGCGGGAAAGCTGGGCTCCCAAATCCCTGGGGGGCAGGGGCTGTGGTACTGTGTCTCCGCAAACAGGAACCTTTCCTCTGCGTGGCAGGTCCCCTGTGCAAGTACAAGCACACGCGGAGGGTGATGTGTGCCAACTACCTTGTCGGCTTCTGCCCAGAAGGACCCAAGTGCAAATTCATGCAGTACGTGCGGGGCAGGCTGGGGGGAACTCGGCGCACGCAGCTGGCCTGGGACAGCAGGGGACAGCCCCTCTCTGAGGCTGCAGAGGTGGACGTGGCCCTTGCAGTGTCTGGGTCAAGGACAAGGGCACTTTAGGTCCTTGTCTGAACTAACTGGACCCCTCTGGTCTCTCCTCACGTCCAGCCTGAGCTGGTGACTGCAGGGTTTGCAGCAGGTGGGCAGGGAACAGCCCCGATCCCCTTGGGGATGCCTGTGCCGGCTACCTGAGCCCTGAGAGGCTGTGGAGGGGATCTGGGGATACCGCTTGCCATGTCCCAGGGAGTAACTGCCTGTCCTCTGTGTCCCCCTCCAGCCTCAAGGCCGGGCTGATGACGAGCAGCACAGATCCATCCAAGGTGATGCCATTCCCTCTTGAGCCGAAGCCCTTTTGCTCTGTGCCTCTGCCCATCAGGGTGATGCACCCGCTGCCCCTGCCCCACAGCTCTTGCTTCTGCCCCAGCTCTTGTGGGACAGCAGCTGCCAACCGCCCCTCCTGCCCCATGTCCCCCCAGGGAGCTGGCTGTCCTTGGGGGCTGGCACGGCTGGATCTGGCTGCCGGCAGGGAGAGTGGATGCAAGGACGTGCCACCCATGGAGCCCCCTCTACCAGTCACTGGCGCTACCCAGCACCTGACAGCGCTGCTGTGGGACACCAACAGTGGCCCCCAGGGCCCACAGAGCCTGCTTGAACCGGGGCGTCTGCTTCAAGGTGAGTGTTTTTGGGGCTGGGAGGCCTGGGAGCAATGGCCTCACCTTGGAGGGAGGGTAAAGCGCTATGGCAAGGGGTAGCATGCGGCACAGGGACTCCCATAGCGCTCTCAAAACAGCTTCCTTGACTGGAGGTATCTGTCTTCTCCCTGGGCTCTGTTTCTTGGCCCTGGAGCCTGCCTCCCCCCAGGCAGCTGGGGTGTGAACCAGCGGCAAGGAGGCTGTACTTGGATTGGAATAATCTGACTGCAAGTGGAGGGACTTCCGTGGTAATAAGCACTTGGCATGCAGGGGAACAGCCCTGGGGAGCAGCGAGCCCCTCGTGTCCCTCTGGGTTGGAAGTTTGTTGTAGTTGGAGGTCTCAGGATGCAGCTTGCAGGCGAGAGCTGTGCTGGAGCAAGGCGTGGCTCCGCTAGCCCAGGTGGTGGGAAATGGTATGAAAATGAACGCGTGGTAACATGGCAGTGGGTTGATCCAGCAGAAAACCGAAGCCTGCCTCTCCCTGTCCCCCCAGTGCGGACAGAAAGGTCACTACGCCAATAAGTGCGGGAAGACTCAGCTTTAAATCCTGCTGGGGAAGGGACTTGAGCACTCCTGCACAGACCCTGGAAGGAGGACACCGCAAAGCACGATGGAGCCAGCAAGACGGCTACCAGGGCAGTTGCCAGACTAGAAAAGCCAGTTGGTTTTGCTCAGCACCGGCTCTCACCAGCTTTTTGCACAAGCAGCAGAGAAATCGCAGCTTCCCTAAATGCAACTGGAACCAGGCTCTTCACAGCTGCCTCTGTTCCCTCTGGTGCAGCTGGCTGCACACGGACCGGGGCAGCAGGAGCCGTCACTACGCAGTCACAGGTTTGAAGGGGTGCAGGATCAGCTCGTGCCGGGGTCCTGGGCAGATGAGGGTGTGTGAGACCCCTGTGAAGGGGGGCCAAGAAGCACCATGTTTGAGAACACACAGTACCAAGCAGAAAAGGAAAATTCACAAAGGCTTTTATTGCTGGGAAGAGGGAGTTTTTGGTGAAACACCTCTGAGACAGTACTACCGCACTGCTCTTTGAATAAAGAGTTCAGGTTTCTTGTTCTTGTTGTTTTTTTTTTTTTGTTTGTTTGTTTTACCCTTCATGCCTGTAACATGACCAACCCTTTTCCAGACATGTTTGGTGACGGCAGGCTACAACTAGCACTCTCATAACTGTCCTCATTCGTCTGATGCAGACATTGGTTTGCCCTTTGGGCACAACAGTTAATCCAATGGATTTTTTTTCCTCCAGAAATAGGGCGCTGCGGTCTGAGCGCTGCTGCTTTAATGCCTTCACAAAGGTCCTTCCCTCGCAGCCTGGGCAGTCGCACCAGCACCGAGCTGACAGCGAAGCAGGGGCTGGGGGCCCTTTGTGGAAGGGCCCTGCAGGGACCACCCTTCTCCTGCCAGCCGCTAGCGAACCCCATGGTGCTCGCTGTGGAGAGGGGTAAGTACCAGACAGGCTGTGCCGGGCACAACTCTGCCAACTTGAAGAGAATGGTTATTCTGGCCTAACCCCACCCTGCCACAATCCATCACAAACCTTACTGCCAAACACCAACTGCAACATACACGTCGATTAATCTATGTTAACAGTCCAAGTGAAGGAGTTGTCCTGTGTCTGGTGTCCCAAAGCGAGAGATCTGGGCTGCTGCAGACTACAGGAGCTCTACTGCGTGCAGACCTCTGAGGGGCGGCTCGAACACTTTCTTCTTTCAGTACTAAATACCACCTGAACCGCAGAGCAGTGATTGCAGGCTGTTACTGTCAGCGTCACCCCTCTGTCTGCAGGAGGGTAACTGAAAAGCAGCCCTCTCGACAATTAAAGACCCTGTCTCTGACAGTAAACGGGCCTCTGCTGATTGGAATCCCTGTTGGGACACTGGTCCTGAGCACTTCTGCTGACTCCCAGTCAAATATTTGTGACTGTTCCTTGGGTGCTGTTCCAGCTTCTTCAGTGGTACTTATGCCAGCGATGACACTCTAGAAAAATGGGGGAAGAAAACCAGAAGAGCGTTAGCACAGTGCTATGCTCGGGGACTACGGGAGTGTGCTTTGCCCAGCAGCGATGAGCAGGAGACTGACTGCAGCCTTCTCTGTTTACGTGCTGTGGAGCTGCGCATGAGAGCAAGTCCTGCTGGGGAAACTACCCAAACAGCACTAAATCCCTTGTCAGTTATGAGTAAATGCAGGGAATGGGTGCTTAGTGTTGGAACATCTCCTCCCTATGCTTTGTGCAGGGTTTAAAAGTGCTCCTGATGTTCCTGGCGCTCTCCAGGGAGAAGCTGTGAATCAGCAACTTGTTATCATCAACTTTAAATTCCTCTGCCTACCTAAGCCAGGTCCAAATAATGTTCTCTGAGCTCTTAGTCTTAACTGTGAAGTATTTCAACTATTTCAGAGCTTGAATTAACATGAATGGCAAATAGACTTTCCACCTGCTGCACAAGGGGGAACTGCCTGAAATAAGACAGATACCAAGGAGGAAATCTTACTGATATGCTGGTAGTTCCAGCCATAGCTGAGGAGGCAGTATCCAGCCAGCAGCATGGAGATCCCAGCTGGTCCACCCCTCTTCACGTTGATGTATTTGTCGTAATAGCTGCTCCAGGCTGTTGGAACAGAAATGCAAGGGTCAAATCATGTGCAGGTCTTATGGCATTCACTGGTTTCCATGTAACTTTCTAAAGCCAAAGGGTTGGGTCTATTTATTTACTTTTTTTATAAAGACTCAGACTGGCCACTTGGACCAGGCTGCAGCAAGTGGATCAGGTAAGTGGGGCAATTCTGCCCTAAGAGCTGGGAATTTAGCCTTACCCTTCCGCACTCCTCCGAGCAGCCCCTGGGGAGACAAGTCGCAGGTGGCCAGCCACGCGGGCAGCTCCCCCAGCCTTACGTCCATCAGACGCCTCTCTGAGAGGGGACCTGTGCAAAGAGAAGTCAGGGTGGTCAAAGGCAGGAAAGCGAGGGCAACATGTGTGGTGCTCTTGCGTTCCCTGTGCCGGGCGGTGAGCACGCAGCTGGTATCTGGTACAGCCGCAAGAGACTTGGGCCTGACCGCTCAGAAAGGAAGAGCGAATTGTCTCTCCCACAAAGTGAGTTGGCTCCACCAGCCCAAACATGCAAGAGCCACTCTTAAACCTAAATAGAAATGTAAACCATTAGTTTTGCAGGCTGGAGAGTTGGACAGTTAACCTCCTTGGATCCTTCCTGGATCACTTTCTGGACGAGCCCAGCAGCTTAGCGTTTCCTACCCCTGCTCTGTCATTCATGTCAGATAGTTTAGCCTGACAGTGCCGTAAATCTCAGCAGCAGAGACTTTTGATTCTCGCGTTACCTCGCTGTCCCTCTGAGAAATTGCCTTTTGGTGTCTTCATTGTGATCCCCCTGTCTTCTTGGAAAGGCTTCCCTGGAAAAATACTCAGCCCATCGTAATTAGGATACAAGTCTGGAAACCACTCCAAGCCCATGGCACCTGCGGGCGTGCTCCTGCCAGAGGCCTGGGATAGACAGATGGGTTGGCTTTTGGAGGTGTGGAGCGAGAACCGGTGCAGCGCCAGCTCGGTGTCCCTCCCCGCATTCAGGATGGGCTCAGAAACTACAGCCATCTGCTTCTTGTGCTCTCGAAGCTTTTGTATGCTGGTTAGGTAATTTTTGGATGTCCCTTCGTTGTGACCTCTGAAACCCTCCATCACTGACAGATGGAGGTTCTTGGTATGCAAAGCAGAAATAGGGACTTTATATTCTACACCAGCTTCTAGGTACATCTGCTTCTCTTCCGTCACAGCTTTGTCTATTCCCTCCTGAAGAACGAGGTCACCAGGGCTACTTCTGCAGGCAGCTTCAGGGGGATCCCTAAGTACAGGTATTTTTATTGCCTTTAAGCTACTGCCTTTTTCTCCCTTTGAGCTCACAGATGCATCCTCCACAGCTCCAAGGCCGCACGTCTCTGTGTTTGCGGTTTCTGGAACAGTTATTCCCTCCTGCGGGTCAGGCTGGGCTGTGTCAGTGTGGTCAGCAGCACCACCTGGATCCGGCCCTTCCACAGGCAACCTGTGTGCGCTGTGGCTTCCTGCTGAAACATCCCTGCTCCTGGAACTGCTCTTCTCTCTGACCACCCTGGCACGGTGCTTCTCTATTACTATTTTCACTCCATTCCTCAGCTTTTCGGGTATATCTTTAACCTCCTCGGGGAGCAAATCAAGGCACTTGGCTATGTCCTGTACCGCGGGCTCCACCTTCCGCTCTGCGTGGCGTCCGTCGGGCTGGCGGCGAAGCCCGGGGCCGGACGCTCCACCCTGCTCGGCCGCGGCCTTCTTCCCCTTCTGGGCCGCCGCAGCCGGCTCCGCGCCTCCCGCCGCCGCCTC